CAGCTTGGGCAACAGAGTAAGACCTTGTCTAAAAAACAAACAAACGAAAAAAAAAAAAAAGAAAGAAAGAAAAAGAAGAAGAAAAACAAGAAGGCACCGGAAGGGAAGGCACAGGAAGGGTTTGACACAGGGTTGATCGGGCCACAGCAGCTGCGTAACGACATCTCTTGCCCACTCCCGAGCGGCTTTGCTTTCTCTCAGGATCCACCCCGTCCCAGCTCCTTGTCCCTCCTGAGCCCCGGGCTGTGGAGTCTATGCCCACATGCACCTGTCACAGCCTACTCCCGGCACGTGATGGAGACCCCTGGGTGACTCTGGGTCTCAGCACACATCCGGCCAGGAAGGAGCGATGGCTTTAAAGGGCTGGGTCCCAACTGGGAAATCCGGCGGCCAGGCCTGAAGGAGGAGCTGGAGGAGGGGGGTGCTCTTAAAGGGGCAGGTTGCCTACGGGACTGCCGGTCAGGTGCTAGCCCAAGTTGGCAGTTCAAGGAGTTAGGACCAGACTAGCATGGTCCTGCAGGTGAAGGAACAGAAAGGTGTGTGTGGGAAAGAGCGACATTAAGTCACTTGAGCTGAGAGAGGGGCAAACTTTACCTTCAAGCAGGCTCAAGCTTGAGAACTCTTAAAACCTCAACGCGGCTGGGCACGGTGGCTCACGCCTGTAATCCCAGCACTTTGGGAGGCCGAGATGGGTGGATCATCTGAGGTCAGGAGTTTGACACCAGCCTGACCAACATGGTGAAACCCCATCTCTACTAAAAATACAAAATTAGCCAGAAGTGGTGGCACATGCCTGTAATCTCAGCTACTTGGGAGACTGAGGCAGGAGAATCGCTTGAACCGGGAGGCAGAGGTGCCATCACGCCTGGCTAATTTTTGTATTTTTAGTAGAGACGGGGTTTCACCATGTTGGCCAGGCTGGTCTCAAACTCTTGACCTCATGTGATCCACCCTCCTCGGCCTCCCAAAGTGCTGGGATTACAAGTGTGAGCCACCATGCCCAGCCAGTCACATACAGTTTATCTTAACTTTATGTGGTTATTGGGTGACCATCTGCGTTAGCTTACTGGCTTT